GAGATTTCGTATTTGCTTATGACCAACTCTAACCTACTTTAAAATAAACATATTTCATGATCATTCACTTTCGATCACTGATCATTATCGTTTAATTACTCTTAATCTTATTAATTCTTTTTCTATGCACACTAAATTCTTGAGCATTGGATCTTGTAGAGGGTGTTAAGAAAATATATATCGCGACTACTATAGCATAATTCTACACCCTTGATTTGGTAAACATTGAATTAATGCGCCCCAAAATTGATCTTGACCTTGAATTTCAAGGTAAAAAGGTCAATAATTTTTTACCTTTCGTCTAGATCTTTGAATCCACATAATATAAACTCAACAGATCTACGGCTATCATCTATTGGTGATCGAGTAGAATATGACGCAATTAAAAAAAAATTGTCGACCTTTTGACCTTGAATTTCAAGGATCTTACAAAGAGGAAAAGATGTACCGGATATTAAGAAATTATATGTCGTGACTAGCATAGGATGACTCTACACTCTCGATTTGGTAGAAATTAAACTAAGATAGGGGCCGTAAAGTTGACTTCGACCTTGAATTCCACATCCTGTATATCTTTTTCTCTTTGTAAAATACGTCTTCCGCATTTAGTCATTTAATAAACATTATTGATAGACGTAAGTGTATATTTCTTCTTGTAATACTCATTTAACAAGTGTTATTGACACACTTATATGTATATTAATTTTTTTCAATAACCATCTATAATTAACTGGACTTGCTTGTCGGACTAATTATTCGTTTATCCAGTCACAGGTCAAACAGGCGCCTGCTGTATTTTATTAACTGTAACGAAAATTATTCGGTTCATTTTTTGTTTGGTCTTTTATTAAATTACAGAGACGTCACGCTGGACTCTTATTGTTTGTTACTTTATTTTTCAAGACACAATGTACATGTTCATAAAAAAAGGGATTTTCTATCGAAAAGAATGATGATGAAGTAATAAAATGTAAAATGAAAAATAAAATCTCTTTTGTTCGCAGGAGAAAACGTAACCCGCCTTCAGCATGGGGGCGATGTTCAGGAGCGAGGAGATGGCCCTTTGCCAGCTGTTCATTCAGCCGGAGGCGGCCTATCTATCTGTCTCCGAGCTCGGGGAAACCGGTACGGTGCAATTTCGTGACGTAAGTTGAATCACATAGATAATCTTCTCTCATATAACGTACTGTAGCAACCGATAGCCTTCACGAACGCTGACGATTATTAGAAAGCAACGTCAAACGTAAAAAAACTATTGACATCATCACAATCCAGTCAAATTAATTTTTTTCACAATATTATATAGTATTGTAAAGAATGATAAAATCAGGCAAATTGACAGTTGGAATAAAATTATGCTGCTTTTTATTAAAGTATCTAACACCCAGCGATGAGATAGAACTTGCCTAGTTGAGGTTGGATGAGTCCTTAAATAGAAACAATGACGAAGCATTGAAATTTTAATAGTTACTGGATACTACATTAAATGAAACACTGGAAAATTTGAGAAATTTTGCAAGACTATTAGAAAAATTATTACATCTTGAATTCTTATGTTGAATAGCAAAATTTTGACTTCATTTATGAAAAAATATAGAGACAACAATGATAGAATT